TAGAAATCATCAAAACAAACTTTTAGACCAATTTCCAGGATATTTGGATCAATACAGAAGCCGCAAGAGTGTTAACAAGATTTTAGCTCACCTGAGCTAGCTCTGGGTGAGCCTTTAAGATCGTTGAATTTCCGTCGTCCGTCCACATTTGTTCGTTAACACTCACGGTCACATTTTTGCCTCAATCATCATCAAGCTTTGTCAGGATGCTTGTCAAGGTAAAAGCCCGGATAAGTTCGAACATGGGTCATCTCGGATGAAAACTTAGGTCACAGGAGCTAAAAATAGAAAAACCTTGTTAACACTCTAGCGGTCACATTTTTGCCTCAATCATCATCAAACTTTGTCAGGATGCTTATCTAGGTAATAGCTCCAACGAGTTCGAACATGGTCAGGACTGATTGGTAGGTCAAATACTTGTGCATAATACAAAAGTTTCTCGCTTGAATGATTTTCAGCTGAGTTTTTGGCCTTAAATAAAAGAAGAGTTTTGCCCTGTTAATGATTTTTGGGTCTCCTGCTACACAGTAGCTGCAACATGCGATTGGCTATCTGTCATCATTGATGGCCCTTGTTTTATACACATACAAAGATTTTCAATGTTAAATGTATTTGCATACTATTTCTTATGAAAGATTTATTTTACAGAAATGACATGAAAATATACATGAAATACCGGAAATTCGACGGGGAAAATAACAAGTGACAGAAAATTGCACAAACCTCCAATATTACAAATTTATATAAAAAATGGCAGTCCTTCTGTCCAATCGCAAATCTGGACAATAACTTTTGTGTTTGATTCTTGTTGAAAACTATTCTGTTGAAGTTTGATTGAAATTCCACATAATTTGTGAGAGATATGCACGGAAACATTGCTGCTCGCCGACATTTACCAACCTTATAACCAGTTGCAAAAATGGTTATATGTTATTCCAATTAAAACAAATGAATTTAAACTTTAAGAGAGAAAAGGTGAATTTGAAAGGAACATTTAGGAAAGGAAAATAAATAAGCGCAGAATATCCCACTTTAAAGGTATTAACACATGCGAAAAACGAATTGGAAAATGTCCAGTCCTGTCATGACAAATAAATTACACTAGTAAGTAAAGTCCGTTTAATCGTGTCATAACAAAATTAAAAAAAAATTACATTATTGAAAAATATACGTAATGAATCAAAATTTAAATAGGAAGATCGTTACAAATTAGAAAAAAAATGAAAGAACAAAAGAAATATTTAATAATAAGAGTCTTAACATACTGCATTATACCTTTTTGCACATATTTTGCCAATGACGATTCAATGCTAGATTTAAATGAAGACAAAAACATATCATGTGAAAAATTATTTCCACAAGTTGCCATATTAAAACTAGAAAACGCCTTTGCGCAGAAGGTTTTAGTATAAACTAAGGCATGAATATGTACACATGTTTTTAGATTTGCATAAAAGTTGATTGATTGATTCTCTTAAGATCGCTGTTAAAAAAATTAACAACTAACCGATAATTGTCAACCCCGTTTCATCAATATCATATTGACGAATATTTATAATAAACAGGACCTTGACAAACCAGAAATTTTATTTATTCATTTTTTGAAAACAAAACAAAAAAAAAACACACACACACAAAACAAAAACAAGAACAAAAAAAAAAAAAAAACAATGATGTCAAAACTTATAATGACAAAATATCATTTTATTTTTGTATCTTATAGGAATGGGTTAAACTTTCTTAGTATACATTTGTAGTTTAACGTAATACATGTTTTACAAAAGATAAAAGAGGTTCTTTTGATTTTTATACCGAAAGAGGTGTAAGGCAAGGCTACCCTTCATCGCCGTATAAATTAATTTATCGTCTGTCAAGTAGCTAGAAGACAGATTAAAAAAATCAGTTAAACCAAATTGAAGACGATGCGTATGTTGTATCAAATGGTACATTATAAAGTTTGAAGAACTTTTGCATATATTTGGACAATTTTTAGGAACGCTAAATAATTAATATCTATATTTATGTTCTCAATAATACATCTCTAAGGAAAGTTTTTGTTTTTTTTTTAAATTCTATTTTGGTCAATATACAAAACTACAAATGACTTTCATATTTATGTAAACATTGAATAGCAAAAATAAAAATGGCCTAGCTTTGGCTGGAAGTTCATCAGTCCATGTGTTTGGTTAATAAATATCACTACATCAGTGGGCTAACTAATAGAAATATTTAATATACAGAGTATATAAAAATGTTGATGCAGAGCAAATACTACTAGTATATAAATTTGCTTCTGAGGATGCTTAACTTAGACAAGCCAAACTGTACATAATATATTAAACAGCTGACAATAGAAAGTGATCAAACCTTTGTAAAGCTGTCGTATCATATATTTTTGTTTCCATAAAATTACTACAATGTAGTATTTAAATTCATATAAATAAACATCACTTCAAGATGTTAAAAGTGTATCTAATAGATTTTCACTTACAGGTACAAGCAATTTCTTGATTGTCATGCAGTGAAATATTAGTAAACCTTGTCATAAAAGCTGCCCGTAGAGAAATATTCTACTCTCTTTTTCGAGTAAACAACGCGAAATTAATATTGGTTGAAGAATCCTGACCTTAAATCAAATTATAATTTTGACAACAAACAGTTATTGTTTCATAATTAAAAGTGTTAATAATCAACATATCAATGTATCTAATACTATCTATAATATACAAAAATGTATATTATTATTGGTAGTGATTTCTAATGCAATGATATAGGTAACGTGTTATACTAGACATTTAATAAATGTTTCAATATCGGTTTGGTTAAATGTTAAGCATCATTCGGTGGTAAGTTTTCGTAAAAAATCTGTATCTTAAGTTCGCTTAGTGACATTTTTTCCTACGCATTGCATGTTTTGGACATACCAGAACCAACGACGACGAAATTTTCATAAAAATCCAGATCAAAAATTGGATAATAAGAGGAAAGTCAGGAGACTAGAGTCACATTTCGATTTTCTTCAAAAAGCATTATATTTTTTACTTAAATGTTTAAAAAATTGAAAACTTACTCTGTGATTGACCAATTTTCTCTTCCACATATGGTGTTATAGTGCAAATCAGGATCAGCGGAATTTTACATAAATTATTTTACCGATTTTGCTCGATTTTGAGATTCATATGGAGTGTACCCCCGTGCATATGGTTTGAGAAATGTGCAAGTTAAAATCAAATTTTCATGTACCTTTGAATTCATCATTAGTTTCAATTCCTGTATATAGTTTCATCATTGATGGTGTGGGATATAGGATATACTGTTTAAGCCAAAATATTAAAGACGACAGACGCTGGTCTCAGAGATATGACCAAAGCTAAAGAGCTAAAATTGTGCAAAATTTATAGGCACATAAAGCTACCAGCATTATACTTTTTTCCAAAAACTCCTTTTGTTGCAACAGAAAACGTTACTCATTGGACATATAACTTTACCATATTTTTATTGTGGTCGTTAGAAAAGTTGTGTTTTTTGCATGGAGGACAACTACATTTATGGCTTATCATTTCAACGCTGCTTTTGTCTGGTGAAAAATCTTACATCTAGCATCTAACATATTCTTAATTCATTATTATTGCAGTATGAAGTATTTCCTTTAGAGGGAAATCGTATACAGTTTTGAAGTTTAATATACCTTAATATAAATGGTACAAATATCATAAAAGATTTTTGAAAAGTATTTTAAATAACAGAAAGATAAGGAAAAGATTTAAATTTACCAGATGATTCATAAATTCATAGGAATTATCATTTATAGATATTCTTCACTACCAAAGTACGCATAAAATCTATGAAATGATATGAATAGGTTATCACGTAGGTATCCAGAGATGACATATAATGACAATAAAAGGAAATAATATGTTTATGATTTGTAAGATCCTCAGACTATCAGGAATGATAAAAAACACAAAACAAAACAAAAACCAACAACAACATACTAACTTGAAAATATCTTATATACACCTGGAAATAAGCACACCCGGCATTTTGCCTCAATTTTGACATGACCACAACTGAAATTTTAAATTTCATTTGGGCAATGGTACGAATCACCTGTAGTCAACCTGCAACAACTGGTACAAGCTTTGCACCAAGAATAGCAGAATTTACCTCAAAATCGCATCAGACGCCTTACTGTAAACACTCCAACCTCCAACACCATACATGCCATACTTATAAACACTTACATGTTTGGTAAAAACAACAGATTTGCTTATGCTTCAATAATTTGGTTAAGAATAAATTCATTAATTTACTGGTTTATGATTACTAACTTGGTATCGCTACCTATCAAATTACTATTTCTTAGCTCATTTCATGTCATGACAATGCTTTCAATCACAACTAATTTTAAATTTCCAGGGTGTTTAACTTATTTCAAGGTGTGTACATAAATGATGAATATCATAAAGTCGTTTAATTTGATTTTAATCACAATGTTTTATATATATTTATATATATAAAAAACAACAACAAAAGATTCTATATTAACTTGAATTTCTCTTATACATAAACGATGAATACCATAAAGTCGTTTAATTTCATTTGAATAACACTATATGACATTATAATTCCAAATAAAATGAAAGAATAAAATTTCATCAAGTTTAAAATATAAAATATTTGATCGAACTTGACCTTATTTATTGATGGATTTGATTCATACTTAAACAAAAAACCACTTATAATACATTTTGATATATACATTATTATATTGTAATGCATTTAGAAATAAGAAAAAGTCAAGCGTGGCCCGCTAGGCAATGGCACTTGTTAAAACATCATGTCATGACAATTTGTTTTAATCACATTTATTACAAAACAGTTCAAAAATAAACATCTAAATATCTATAAACACAATATATACATTTCCATTTTGGCATTTTCAATCAATTTGTTCTGTTCATGCTACATAAATTACTAGTGGTTGTACTATCAATATTTCAATTATGAGAATGTAGTATCATCATATCATCATTGAAAAAGTAATTTCTTATTTTTTCAGCATTTTCATTCCATTGATTGTATAAAATCATTTTAGATGCTTCTTCAATGAAATGCCACCTATTATCCCCCGTCCTTATTGCCTTCAGAAACAAAAGATATGTATCTTCAAAGAAGGGAAAATTGTCAATCTCTTTAACGTATTTAAAAGCTGGAATGATGCTAAGCGAAGTAGCCGTCATTGTAAGATTGAATCTTTCACTGAAAAACAATGTATCCCGCACAATATGTCCGATTTCCTCGCCCATTCTTAGCTTCAGATATTCAACGAGAAACCGGAACGTTTTTCTTAAATATCCCCAATGTTCACTAACATCATACTCGCAGAATACCGGATAACCATCGCTTCCTTCTGGATTGTTTTGAATGTATTTTATTTCAGTTAAAAAATAATGTTCCTCAGACGAGTATTCATCTAAACCTTGAATGTCAGAGAGAAAATGTTGCAAAACTGTAACCATTTCATTACCGCGCTGTTTGACGAAAGCGTTATACTTTTGAGATGAGAGTAACTTTCGAAGTTTCCTTTTCCCGCTATATTGACACACATCTCTTGCATCTAACAACTTATAATTAACTTTCAAAAATATGAGTTGATCTCTTAAACTATCTTCTTCATTTATAATTTTTGCAACATTCCTAAAACAAACGTATGCTTTCAAAATAGTATACATATTTCTAGGCATATGAAGCTTAAAACTAAATATACAGCTCAAATTCTTATTTCCATATATTTTAAAGAGAAATCTCATCCAGAAATGGAAAATAAATTTCTCCTCTTCAAATCGCTGCGGATGAACATCCTTAATTGACTTTGCTAGAAAAAGAGCCCTTGCGCGCTCTTGGTGTAAACCAGTTGCTAAGTACATAGGTGTTATCGAATGGAAATTGCGACAGTTTAATACGTTTTTACCCCAAAAATAAGAAATATTTTCAAGTGTTAAAGACATATCATGCATTGCAAAAATATGTACCAAAGAAAACATTTGCGCGTTATGTTGAGAACAAAATAAATACTTATTTAGATTATTGTGATCGTTACGGATAATTGTGGAAACAATCAAGTCTAGGTCTGTATATGTTCTTGGTATGCTCTGCAAAGATATGTACCTATAATTGTAAAAAAAATGAAATATTTGACACTTTATCATAGCCCTGTTTTGATGCGTGTTTTATATCCTCCCGAACGCAATTCTTGTCAATTAGTTTAATATGGTAGGACATATCTTTATATGGCTTACAAAGTATGTAATACTTTTCATATTTCATCCTATATTTTGTGTTAGTTGCGATTAAAATCAAATCTTTTGCAGAAAGTTTACTTTTAACTCCTATTTCTATTAAGTGCTTAACCAAACCTGCAGACCAACCCTGAATAGCTCTTTCAAGAACATTAAATCCGTCACTGTCATAGCAAGAGCTATAAACAGTCGGGCCCTTTTGAAAATACAATTTAAAAGTTTTCTCAATTTCATCTAAATACCACTTGTCAAACACTGTCATAAGCGCTGAACAAAGCTGTCCAAATTTCAAGGCTAAAATATGTAAATGACATTTTGAAATCATGTCTGTACAGCTGTTAGCGCACTTCACGATTTTCGAAGCTGTCAACTGTTTATGTAACATCAATCTGACATATATTTCGTATGTCAAAACAGATGTATAGTCCTTGAGTAGTACATTTCTGATGAATTCATTATCTTGCAAAATCTTTTTGTTGACAAGGCTAACATATAAGGAAATTAGTGAGCAGTGATTTTTCTCTACAAGATCTAATAAGATCGATTTACGATGCAATGATGGTATTAAACCGTTTTTTTCAACGAATTCTAAAGCTAGTAGTATAGAATATTCTTTACCAGTTAGGAATGATTTACTTGATTCCATTGTAAGGTTAAGCAAAAATGTAAAAACGAAGTCCGTCGATTTTTCAAGATTTGAAACTGCAAGGTGCAAAGGTGTAAATGAATCAATATCTATGTCCCTCATAAGCTGTATTGAAAGTTCTGGATAATTCCTAAACGTATCAATAACAACTTGATAGTGACCGTTTAATAAGGATATGTGAAGAATATTGCGATTACGTTCAAATTTAATCATGATGTCTTCATCACTATCCACAACTAGTTGCACGATCTTTGAAATATTTGTATCTAAACTGAAATCATAAATAGCCAGGGAAGACGTTAATGGTTTCCTAAGTGCTGATGATATCAACGCCTTTTTAAGTCTGCTTAACAACGTACCGGTCGTATCAAGTAGCTGATTTAGAAGAAAACTAGTTGCTGCAAATGAACCACATTCGGCTGCTGAATCGACTGGAGTTTTTCCGTTTTTGCATCTTAAATTTTGTAACTGTTTTTCAGATGTGTTGACATGATGTTCAAGCATTTTCAAGCTTCCGTGGCAAGCTGCAACGTGAATAGGTAAACAACCTTCACTATCATAAATATTCCATTGTGTTTTCACATTCTTTTTATGAAGCAAGTCGATAATCCATAAACTATCAAACTTTGAAATAATGTGCATTATTGTAAAATTATGGGGACCATTATACAATTTCAGAGTTTGTCTTTCTTTCTCATTCAGTTGAAATAAACGGGATGGATCGACCGATTTCAAACACCTAAGATCATATCTAAATAAATTTTGATCAATGAATAGCTCAACGATATCTGAATAGTTGTTTTGGATTGCAGATATAAGAGGTGTTCTACCCCCTCGATCAAAGCATTCATGACTAGTTGTAGCCGGATCATTTAATAATACTTTAATAACATTGATATATCTCAACCTCACTGCAACATGTAAAGCTGTTTCACAAGCAACGAAATGCCAGTCATCAAAAAGTACATATATGTTATGATAATCATTTGCAACCATGGAAACAATAATTTGACTCTGAATTCTTATTTTGCCCCTAGGTATCCAGTGAAGTTTGGAATCACATAACTTACAGTCATCTTTTATATTAGATTTTATAATAAAATCAACTAAATCGGCATGAGCCCTCTCTGCTGCGAAGTATAAACACGTGTTGTCTAGCATCCATGGATAAAGGTTACTTATATATTTTACTATCTTGACGTGTCCTAGCTTACATCCAAGGTGAACTGGTAATAAATTCATTCCGTTTCGTCTATCTAAAGGATACTGTGAAGAATGTTTACCTTTCAAAATAAATTCAACAATTTTAAAGTGTCCATTTTGGACTGCTATATCTAACAAACCATAATCCCAGTGTAACTTTTCCAAAGATATTTGAACTGCAATATCAAGGTTAATGATGTCTTGGAATGACTTGGTTCTAAATGCTAGATTAGCTCCAGCATTAATCAATGTTTTAAGAGCATCTACGTTACCCATAGAAGCAGCAATGAAAGAAGGAGTGACATTTTGTCTATCTAAAATATCAGCTTCTGGATAATATTTCAGTAAATATTGCATCGCAGCTGCACTGTCTGTATACTTAGCTATGATGTGTAATGGGTTATCGTCTTTATATATATTTAAATCTATTACTCTTCTTGAAATTAATGAAGACACTGTATCTAGCACATTAGTGTCCATGTACTTATTTGCATGTACTGCATGTAAAACTAATTCTGCTATGTCTATCTTTTCCTGTTTATATTGAAGTACTTTTATCAAATATAAAGCATTGAAATAATGACCGTTATTTCGATTGATTTTGAATTCAATGTTATCAGTATCAAGCAACCACTCTCTCAGTGAAATGTGTAGCATATATGCTTTATTATCAATAAATTTTACAAAATCAATTAAAAGTCCAATGGCGTTATCATAGTCCTCTTGGTTTATTTCTGTCGTGTTTGAAAGTATGTACCACAGTTTATCTTCATCAATGGGCTGTAGCGCTGAACAGATAATCTCTAATATTGCTTTAGCATGCTTATACCCGCTGGTAAAGTACCTTTTGAACTGATGCTCATAATAGATATTCAGTGACTGGAACTGTTTTGAATAAGTGTTTGATTGCACTGTACTTGTCAAAAGTAAAAATGTAAAAGGTTCATTTTTTCCTTCTGTTTTGTTACCTCCATGTACACTTAGATAAAACTTCATGTCTTCTATGTTTCTCTGATCACTCGAATCCAAAAATATAAGTTTCATGTTATATTTTAGTTGCCGACAATACGAAATATTTCGGCAAGTTACAATGAATTTTAACCATTTTGGGAAAAGGTGAAGTTTGTATTTCAGCAGTGATGCTATTCCGTTGATTTTATTTTTTTTATCATGATGGTTATGTTCACATTCATCTAATGCATCGATGATAACAAATTTAACACCCCCTTCTGGATCTGGAATGTTCCGGAGGGGATGTATAAGGCATTCGTCGAAACAACCATAAGGATCATTTTCACATGTTTCTACGTCAAAGATATGCATGCATGAAGTGAATTCATTTTTTAGAATATCGTTGAACATTGGAATATACTTAGCTATCATAGATGTCAACCTTCTTATAAAAACAAAGTGCTGTTTTGTTATTATTGAATCAAACCGACATATGTGATAGGCCAGCAGGTGTTTCTTTAGATTGTAACTCGCATCTGAAGAAGTAGCACAAATAATATTGGCTACAGCAGCTGTTTTTCCAAAGCCCATATCCGTTATTAACACAACTCCTTTACCTGTTTGGTTAAGACCTTCTTCTAAGCTTTTGAATAACCACTGGCGGCCAACAAATGAATGATGGTAAGACAGGTAGCCGAACATTCGCACATATTTGTATGCAAATGACGGGATAGGGTCTTCTGATAGGCAATCTAAAATATGTATTTAGAGAATAATTTGGCTTTGCAATTGAATCGTTGTATTTGTTTGACATTTACTAAGCAACTTTTATTATGATAAATATTTCATTTTAAATTTTTTAATAATATAAGTCACTTCAAAGTCAATATAAACCATTTTTTAAATAATACTAAGTTTTAAAAGATGCAGGTACATGTATGTTAATAATTGAATTTAAATCGTAGACACAGAAAAACGCATGTCCATCGTAGACACAGAAAAACGCATGTCCATTTACTTATTGATAACACAGACACTTGGGATGTGGAGCTTAAAACGCCTTTTTAATCCAAATAAATGTATATTTGTCAATCCCAGCACATGTACTGATCATATAGATACATAAAAAACTTAATATAAGTCGTTTTGAAAAAAAAAATCATATTCAAACGTCTATTATAATTACAGTTAAACTTCGTTCGCTCGAACTCGGATCGCTCGAATACCTCCTTTCGCTCGAACTCATCGTCCAGTCCCGGCAAAATTCCTATATCATATATATTGTTCTACCTCGGATCGCTCGAACACCCATCGCTCGAACTCTCGAACATGATCTCCGGTCCCTTCGGCAGAAATATAGTGTAAATCACACCTTTTCGGTCGAACACAAACAGAAAACAAAAGTTGCGGGTCGACATGTTCTAAATAATTGATAGTCGGCGACGCATGTTTTTAACACCTCGTGATCGTGACAAAGGCAATTAAGGTTAATTGATAGAAAATAAAAGGTGTTGTAACCGATTTGTTTGTTATGATAAAATTGTATATTTGCCGTCTTTAGTAACGATAAAAAGAAAACAACTCCTGAAATGCGCAAAAGTCAATAAATAAATGACGTTTACCCGGACGGCTTTAGTTACAACCGTGGTTCATGTATCGTGAATTGTAACAGTGTAATCTATTTATAGAATGATACTTGTACGTGTTTATTTTAGTAAATGACTACAAATATATGCTGCTGTAAAATGTTTTTTTTATATATTTTTATATATTTAATTAATTCATTGTTTATAATAAAATTAATTCCATAATTGACATATAAATATACTTTGAACATTGTTCACAATTTGGATAATGATCGCCCAATCGAACTCAACCAATTACAATATGCATGCATAAAGATTAACACAGTGTACCGTTAATATTGTGTACAATAGGATAATAATTCTTAATATGACGTATTCGACAAACAGATGTTCTAACAACAATTATATTGACGTATTTATCATTTGACCTATGTAAGCTGGAAAACCTTTAGACATATGTTCTATGTAATAATAGTTCAACCTCGGTTGGCTCGAACTACCGATCTCTCGAACAAATTTTCACAGACCCTCCGAGTTCGAGCGAACGAAGTTCGACTGTATAATAGACGTTGGAATATGATTTTTTTCAAAAACGGATTATATTAAGTTTTTTATATATATGATAAGTACATGTGCTCGGATTGACAAAAATACATTTTATTTGGATGTTAAAGGCGTTTAAGCTTCACACCCAAAGTGTCTATGATTGATAAAGCAATAGATGACCTCTTGTAAGATATTCAAATATATATAAATATACTTTTACCTGTACTTCCGTTTAAAATTTCAACTTGACGTGACATTTCTTGTTTCGTCGTACTTATGTTTAAATTTGCAAAACATATGGCTATTAAGACCGGTACCATAACACCAGCAAAGCACCAGAATATTATATCACGTTTCGATGTCTGTTTTTCAGTCCGGTTTTGTTCTAATGTTCTATTCTTCTTCTCCCTTTCTTCTAGAAGTCTGGTTAAAGTAGACTGAATTTTACATAGTGCTTTTTCTACATCCGTTTCCATACCAAACTGCTCGAGATCCTTTAAAGTTTTAATCAGGTCATTAAAGTTTGGTATAGCCGCTTGAATATCTGGATGATTTAGTACGTTGAATATGATGAAGAACTTATTGAGCAATTCGTTATCCTCCATGTACAATGTAGTACCGTATTTATGAGTAAATTCATTCCTTAACTTTCGAAGCTTGCCAATTCCAGTCACCATTCTAGCATTCACTTCTGTACATCTTTTCCATACATTAATTATCGTTGACAAATCTTTGAAGTTGATATCTTTCATTTTCCAATCTGCTGGCATAAAAACTTCTCTGATCTCATCAGAAGACACCGGCCACATCCAGCTTTTCATCTGATTCCATTTTAATTGTTCTCTCTGGCTTTTTAGATACTTTGTCAATTCCTCTTTCCAAGCAAAGCAAGTCGGACACCATCTGTAATCAAGCAAAGTAGAAACGCAATGATAAGACAATTTTCATGATGCATTAGAAAAATAACTAAATGTGAAACAAATGAAGGTCGTTCTAAAAAGGATAACAGATGCAGCTTTATTTAGCCTGACAATTTGCTTTTGAAACGAGGAAACGCATTTAAGGTATCTGTCATAATTATATTACTTAAAAGTTGGTTTGTAATACACATCGATTGCGTTCTTGTATTTCTTTTTGTAATTGTTGGATATTAAACAAATATGTAGTTTTTTGCTGGTGAATATGATATGTTTTATAAAAATCAAATTTAAATGGCGCATTGTCGGACTTTCGTTTTGTCGTCCTAGCTGTTGCTAATGCACGCCAATCTGCGCGTTGCCGAGCGGGGTGTTGTCGCGATGTCACATTGTCGCTCAGTTCAAATCGAAGGACTGGCTTATTCAAGCAGAGCTACAGGGCAACATCTCGACTACGCGCCGCACGACAAGGCGCCGTTTGGCGTTCTTCGCTAGAGACAGGACGATAAGACGACAGTGCGACAACCGGCTGTTTGGCGCTTTGTCGTGTTGTCGCTAACGACAACGCAACACGCAGTGTACCAAATCAGTCACCATAAAACCAGTCATCATAATTTAAAGATTTTAACATAAATTCATTTATTATCTGTTGAATAAAGAGTATTACTATCAAATACCTTTTATGATCAAGAATACTCCGGCTGCATTGTTTATTGCACTGCGGTCTCTTCCCAAGTTTCTGAGATATTTTGCGGTGTACTGTTCCAACACTGTGGTCAGTGAAATGTTCCAGTGACTGCCCCAGTATGCTCAAAGCTGCATCAAGGCTTTTATAGTTTTTGTACTCCTTGCTTTTCCTTATTGCATTTATATCCGCCATATTTTGATAAAGTTTAAATCACTGCCTTATTTTCGGTTTAATTGTAGAATATGTTTTAAACTCAATATAAGCAGTTTATGATTGTATCGTATAATATAAATATCATGAAAAAAGTAATGATCTGTACAGTTTTGTCTTATATACGTGGAGTTAACGAAGGACAGCAAGTTTAAGGTGAACTTTCTTTTTGTTGCTACAATGCTATAGATACTTTTGATAATTTACATTCAGAAGACCCTGTCAAATGGTAATAATCGAGCAAATGGTTCAACAGTTACGAACAATTACTTATTATCCGTTTTCATGTTAAATTTTTATAACGTACTTAAACCGAAATTCAATATCCGACCGGTGTGTATGTATTACTTTTTAACGGAAAGGATCGGAAAGTTGCAATAGGCCATTTTAGTAAAAGTATCAGGCCTTGTCTCACAACAATGACACTGTTATAGTACAAGAGATATATAATTTTATTTATACCTATAAATGTTCTCCCTAAAATACACGAAAATCTTGAAGCGCAAATATTATGTTAGTGACAAATACGGTACCATATATGGAAGTGTCGGACTATTTTTGACGTTGGTTCCGATCTCAGCTTTTTTATTACGTTGTATTTTGAAACAGGAACCAAAATAATTAAAGGCGTGGCCGGTTTTGCAAAGTTTCAAAATTTTATTGATATCTCAAGGCCCAACTGGGCATGTGAGAAAACAACAATATAGCAAATGTAAAGTAAAGTGATCAAAATAGAATATATATAAATATATACATGTACACAATTTAACAATTTAGAATCGGAGAATGAGATCAAAATTAAAAATGTATTGTTAAGCACAAACATAATTTTCTTACAGAATATTGCGAGATTGAGTAAAACATTTTTGCTTTCACTATTCATTAACTTTGAAAAATTAATAATGTTAGGTCTATGAAAATATATATTGTCTAAATATGTCTTTCTAAGGCATTGAAAATAGGAACTGTGAAATAGATAATGAAATTCGTCACCTAAGATATTATCAGAACATAAACAACACACTTTTAGACTATCCAAATTTAAAAAATCTACCTACAAGAATTACATGTTCATCCGTCAGTCATGAAGAATTAATAATGTTAGGTCTATGAAAATATATATTGTCTGAATATGTCTTTCTAAGGCATTGAAAATAGGAACAGTGAAATAAATAATATAAATAATGAAATTCGTCACCTAACATATTATCAGAACATAAACAACACACTTTTAGACTATCTAAATTTAAAAAATCTACCTGCAAGAATTACATGTTCATCCGTCAGTCATGAATTTATTTTTTGACAACTACATTTCATTTTCTGAATAAAACGAAAAGGTATATAATAAAAGGAAAATAATGTTGTAGTAGCTTTCTTAGGCTATGTATTTTTCTACTCGCAACGTTGAAAAATTGATATCTCGCGAGACCGAATATCAATTTTCCGCCGCTGCTCGTAGCAAAATACAAAGCCTCAGAAAGCTACTACAACAAAATATTCCGTATATATTTGATGGTGTTCGAAATAATCTCATTAAGTTTATTGTTTATTACTGTTCTCAAATTCCTACCAAAGATCCAGTTATATCCTAATAGCTTGACTATTTAATCCTAACTTACAGTTACTAGCCTGTCATGTCAAAGTATCTTGTACGATGCCTCATTGCAGTTTACATTTTGTCATAGGCACATGTAGTTATGTTCATGTTATATCTTTATAAATGTATTTATTAACGGTGCATACACCGTGTCTTTTTTTATATATGGTAATTCCTCTTTTTTTAACGGTACATGGAATAGCTTTGCGGTATGCACGATTTAACGTGTAATTTGATAATATATAGTCAGTCATTCGAGGCATTACGTTCAAGCCGTCCATTGTGAAATTGGATCTTCAGCATTCTTACTCATGTTAAAGGATTTTAACGAATTGAAAGAATATTTCGACTAGAAATGTTTTGAAATAAAGAGATATTTTTCAATGCACCTATTCCGACAGTCGTGTAATTTGCAACTCTGAAGTCAAAGCGTCTACAAGACCAACTTGACTATACCAGTAAATTGCGTTCTCTTGTTCAGAATTTGGAGTGTCTTACAAATCCTTTAGATAACAGTTAAATAAGTGACATTTGTACTGAAATTCACAAAAAAAAGTAATTGCCGTGTTCAACTAACTTAATCAACTGACAAAATTCCTATAGGCTGGCTTGAAGTTAAAGAACATGAACGAGACGATTTGGCAAGTGACGACGAGGAAAGCAGGAAACTCAAAAACGGCTTTGCACCAGATGAAAGGAGAAAGTCATATGGCCCTCTTCTCTTCTTGGCCTACATCAATGATTTACCATCGAAAGTCCAATCCACGGCTCGACTGCCTCCTGTTTAGAATCATCCGTAGCCCTGAGGACTCACGCCAACTTCAACATGACCTTGATAGTCTCCAATCATGGGAGGATGATTGGCAGATGGCTTTCAATCCCGACAAATTTGAAGTCATCCACATCTCCACAAAAAGAAAACCTATTACTAACACCTATAGCATCCACGGAAAAGAACCCAACACTGCAGATCATGCCAAATATCTTGGAGTCACCATCTCTTCAGACCTCTCAAGGAAAAAACATATCGATAACATCACAAAAAAGGCTAACTCCACCATGTCATTCATCAGGCGAAACATACGATCTAGCCCTCCAAGCGTTAAGTCTAATGCCTTCAAGACATATATCAGACCTACTGTTGAATACGCCTCATCTGTCTGGTCCCCTCACTCTGAGGGTCTTATCAACCAACTAGAAATGGTCCAACGTCGCGCTGCAAGATTCGTGAAACGAGACTACACGCGAACAAGCAGCGTCACCGACATGTTTACCGACCTCAAATGGGACACCCTCCAACACCGGCGCAACAACACCAAACAACTATGTTTTTCAAGATATTGCACAACCTTGTGGATATTATACCAGATCCTCCACTTATCAATAAGTGCTAAGACTGTCAGAGGGCACAACCAACGTTTCCGCCAAATCAGAGCACGCACTTCCATCTTCCAAAATAATTTCTTTCCCGCAACCATCGTGCTTTGGAACAAGCTGCCGCAAGACCAGACCAGCCTGGATGCTTTCCAATCAGCTCTGGCCAGCCAACATATAAAATACTAATCACGGAGTTGTTTTTACTCTTTTAATAGAAACTGTAAATAGGGAAACTTTTTATTTTTATTTTGGAAAACAGTCAGTCCTGCCTGCTGCGTATGTATATACAGTTTTTATCCGATCGCGAGTATACTCCTTGCGGAGTGATGCAATTATTTGAAATGATGATGATGATGATGAACAAGTTCAATTCTTCCCAACTTTATTCTCCTTATAACGTTAACGATATTGCATGTACTAGGGTTGTCGGTGACATATTTGCTATGGCACCTCATAATCCAGGGATTAGCAATGTTTGTCCTTTTACATTTAACAACCAGTGGCGGCAGCAACCATTATACGATCCAAGACCAACCGACCATTGTTTTGCCCGAGGCAAGTCCGGAAACTACCGTTCTACCTGTCCTCACGACATCTTAAACAGAAAGCCCAGTCTACTCTGAGGAGGACTCGAAAAAAGTGAACTTGATTTTACCAAAGATTTTTCAGTAAAGGGCTAATTTGAAACAAAAAATTATTTTTTTGGATAAAATAGGTGCAAATACTTGTATAGAAAGTGTTTCCAGAGATTGATATTTAAACCCTTAAATTCATTCCCCAATTTCAGATTGTTTGAAAAATAATCAGTCGTTTTTGGACGCCGTTATGGAACTATTGATTATTGTAGGTTTTAGAAGTGGCTTTAAAATATGATAAACAAGACCAACAAGGAAAGGCGGCGTTCAAAGACTTAAATAGCAGTAAATCCTCTTACAAATTCAGTAAATCGTACAGGCAAGAAAATACTAATTTTAGATTTAAGGCACATCATTCAGTACATTTGGAAAGAAAAATGGTTTTGATGATGTAAAATAGAGTGAAATTAAATTAGATTTAGAATACGTCAAACAGGGCACTCATATGTTAAAATTCGATCTCAAATCGGGTTACAATCACATAAAATTGTCCCAGAACATCAAACCCTCTTGGGATTTTCTCTTAAACAAGGCAATAAGATAAATTATTATGTGTTTACCTTTGAGTTCCTCGGGATTTATTTTCACTGAAATTTGTGAGAGTTTGTGAAATACTGGCGTACTCGAGGCATAAAAAAACAACTATATGTTTAGACGACGGATGGTCGGTATCAGACTTTAGCTGATTTGGTCAAGACTTCATTTGACGCATCTGGTATTTTAACTAATAATGAAAAGTCGGTTTGGGTCACACCTCAGAGTTGACATGGCTAGTTCATTATTATTTAAATCTTAAAAGAGGGTTTTTGAATATAACACAAGAAAAGGTTGATTATCTGAAGAGGGCAGAATCTGATGCTAAGTCTTAAAAGAGAGTCACTGCGCGCCATCTAGCAAAAATAGCGGTATGATAGGTTGTATGCATTTTGTCATAGGGCAGCTTGTTCGCATGATGACTAAGTATTTATATGCAAGGGTAATGAGGAGTAGTTAGTGAAACTTTATTTATTCAATAAATGGTACATAAAATGACATTAAAAACATTTCACAACAATTTAATTCAGACTTGATTGGAAAACAAGTAAAACAATTCTTTTATCATTTCTTCGCAATTAAAAGTGATTTTCAAAATAAAGATACAAAAATGTTGCGGTTAAGAGCAGTAGTTACTGGGAATGTTTTTGAAATATAGAACCAGGATGTCCAGAATGGGTAGAATTATGTTTTTGTTTAGACAGTATTGATAACATTTAAATAAAACAGCTGTTTCCTGCTCGTACGATTCAAGAGTCTGTTTTGGTGTATTCGGACGCTAGCGACGTTGCAAGAGCGGTCTTTTCGCCGCATATTGCTGAAAGTATCGCACATAA